CGCCCTGAAATAAATCAAAGGTATATGCTTACCGTTTCTTATATCCACTTAAAGGGAACTTTGTTTTGACATAGGGATACATTAGAAGGTCGAGGATAATAAACACTGCTCACAAAAGATCCCTTTAGAACACCGTTTCCCAAGAAGATATAGACAAAAACCGGTAATAATCAAGCCTCAACCGTGGTAATTATAACTTACGTTGCATCGTTAAAAAACTGATGATAATTACGGGGGTGTATTTTACGAACGGTTTGTTATCCTCGGCAGTTTTTTGTATCCCCTTCTGATGAACAGAGGTCACTTGTTAATGCAAAACAATGTATCGTTTGAGTTACACTTGAGATTTTTACTCCTATGAGTAACGCGTGTTATACAGAAACACTAAAGCTGTAAGAGATGTGTCAAATGGTTTGACGATACGGGCACATCCGTTAAAGTTTCTCCAATCAACATGTGCTGCAGTATGCAAACCCCACATCTTTTTATTTCTTAACCGAGCTTTGCGGCATCAACATTTACAGAAAATAATTTTTCTCAACATTCGTTGACTTCAGAATATTCCGAAACTTTTTGATCTAACTCGTCTATTGCGGTGTGATTAAAGTTTGTGCTTGGAGGTTACAAAACTACGGGTCGAGGCTAAAGGATTGCGGATTTGGCTAAAGCTTGATGGGAAAAGGTGTAGATTCAGCAAACATTGAACCTCGAGAAAGCTGGTTTGCTGACAGACAAAGAGGAAGCAACCGAGACAGACACCGGTTTTCAGTTTCTCAGGCCTGCGCCACTCACTTGCGATACATGATTTACGGAGCATATTGCCGGCAAGAGGCTGAGACGATAGTGACCAAATTAGTTCCTTATGGCCATATAAAATCGATCCATTTTCTTGTAAATCGGCAAAATGATCGGTTCACATCAGGTAAATGGAACCTGTTCAGTTTAGCATACTAAAGCCAGCGACGAAAATTAAGACCAAGAGCGATCCGCCTCTGCGCAAAGTAGCGCTCGACGACAGAAAGTATTCTGTCCTGCCGGCTGCGATTATATGGGCCGCATAAGCACCTTTTTAATTTGTCCCAGGGATCCGACCTCTGAGGCGCAGTCGCCTACACCCACTATTCGCTGGGCGATTAAGAATTTATCGTGGAAACCGTTCTTCTTCTTCTCAGATGCACTGTTAGTGCATGCACCAACAAGACGAATAAACAGTTACGCTTAGACTTGCGAGATTGACCTCTGTCTGGCCTTTCGGGCATGCCCGTGTTCGCAACTATGTGACGTAATTTTGTATTGCTTCTTAGGTCGTGGAAGCGAGCAAGTCGTTATCACCACGTCAAGGTGTGATTTCGATGTAATGGGTATTCAGTATTCACTAAGGTGCACCCAGAATGAAAAAGGTGCCACTATTCATGCAAGTTCAACTTCCATATATTACTGAATAAACAAAGTGCCATTCGAAGGAGGTTCTTCCATCAACTATATGAAGAATGAAATACCAAGGAGCAAAGAAGAATTAGTTCTGAGATTAAACAAAAAACTTACCGGATCGATTAGTCATTCCAGTGGAGGCAGGCAGAGAAATACAGCCTAAAGAGCCACCTTTCATATCTTGCCCTGGACCCAGCCAACCACCGGTGGACAAGCATTGGTGCAAACACACAGCAAGTGCTGCACAGAGATTGCGCAACAGAAATACTCGCCTCTGGCGATTACGCGTTGGTGCCGTGGCACAAAGAGAACAATATGAACATTCAGTATCAGAAGTACCCTTGAGCTGATCTGATGGGCGTAGGGCGGTCGATTCGAGTTTTGATTGTTGCATAGTAGCAGGTTCCGTCGAGGAGGAACCGCTTTTCGAGGCATGATATGGACAAGGAAGAATCGCTGTGGTCAAGTACGGTGGCGGCAAACTCTCCAAACAAGAGATAAGGTCGTGAATCATGCACTGTAGATATAGTAAAAATGAAAGATGTTGAGATAAGCGGCTCAGTAAAAAAATATATTATTAGTATAAACTCAATAGATATGAGTACAGAAGCCACAGCAAAGGAACAAAATAAGCATATATTGAGAGATTATCACAAATAACTTTATTAATTGATTTTACAGTTTCAGATATGGGTTTCTACTTGTTTCCCATCATTTACACGTTCTCCATTCACAAGTGTGTTGATAGTATCTCACACTAACGGTTGAACGAAATGGGAATCTTTCATTCTTCTCCTATGCGAGTCTGATGGGGACAAGATCAATAGGGTCGGCTAGGGGCAACAACAATTGAAATGACAATTACCCATCCAGTACGAACGCGAGTCTATAGGATGCTAACCGAATCTAGTAGTGAGAAAACTGTGCACAACAGAGATATCATCGCGACACAGCTGGTCAACATCTACCAATAGGAAAATCCTAGGCATTCCAAACTGGTGACCAAACAGCTGTGTCAGGATGACGGACTATAAGTGGCAACCAATACAAAAGAGTCCAAGAGAGTTGGAGGAAAAATTGATGACATGGAGACGTGGGTGCGAGCGGAAATGGATTGAAAACAGTAGTGTATTTCAATCTCGGTGCCGAAAAGCTGTTTCGACATAAATGACATGCCAATCGATTAGCCACCGACTGTATCTCGACCAACGGGTATTCTAGCAAATTTATCTCCAACAGTTGTAGCAAGTGATTGAACAATGTCAGGAGAAACCTATTCTTCTCCTGAGAATTCTCACTGTATGAATCAGCACCGGATTGGCCATCACGACGAGACTGCACCTTGACGTGGTGTGATGGCCTGCGCGCCTCAGTGACCCTGCGAGCTACACAGGATGGCTTCTCACAGCCG